CAATGTCAGCTATTGAATCAGAGTGACAAAAATGCTTAAAAAACAATTTAGATTTTTACTATTGGTTTAATAATAAGATCTAATGTAATGAGTTTTGATAAATGTTGTTTTTTATTTTCATGGATTTATGTACTAATATAATATGTAATCATACCTGAATATAATCATATGTATAATGACACATGCCTTTACCAAATAAATGAGTAAATCTTTATGAATTTTTACTTACATGGTTTATGGACCCAAAAAAATGTCGGGGTGGACAAACGCCCCACTGCACTAATGCCGAAAAAAACTCAGTGCACTAACGCAGGGTTAAGCAATGGTGTGGTCGAACGGTGCACACTCGGTAAGTAATCCTACAATTTTTTGTTTATAGCATAGTTTATACAGATTATTCCCAAAAAATTATACATGTTTTGGAAATGTTGAGTGAAATTAGTCTAGAATCAAATAATTTTATGGAAGAAAACCTTTCAAACAGCCGTAGTCCATAAACTGCACACATGCCGGGCTATGATTGGCTCATGTATTTGAGGATTCCTACAACAGGAAATTCTTATAAAGCGGAACATATCTACCGCGCTATAGGGGGATCGACTGTACTGTAAATTTAAATAAAATATGCACTTTATATAGCATAAATATGTTTTCATAAAATTTTTTAAGGTTAAATATTAAAAAATATACACATATATATATTACCACTGTGTGTCTTTGTATGTATCTCCAGAGTGTCTTTATCTTTAGTTGAAAATTTGCAACCAGAATAGATACAAGTAAATCTCTCATTGGAAGTATGAATCAGCAGATGAGATCTTAGAGCAGAATACTACCAAAAATAAAATCACAATAATTATTGTTATTATTATTTAAAGATTAATAACATTAAATTATAATTACAATACTATAATAAAATTAACATTTCATCTGATTCTCAAAACGTATACCAGCAGTAGTTCTTTCAAGAAAGTCAGGACTGAACCACTAAAGTTTTCAATATTTTGTGAATGATCTTCATATACCACAATCTTCATCTGCAAAATATTTTAACTCTTAAGGCATGAATTTATCATGCAGTCAATAACATATTCAAGAATATGTTGTGCTGCTTTACGCACGACATACTTCAAAGATGCAAAGAGTATTTGCACATGAATGACAGTCACTTGCATGATGTCATTTTCAAAACATAAATGGCAAACTATATTATATTGTTTGAAATCTCATACATGAAAAATTGTTAATAAATATTAAAAAGCTAACTATTTTTTTTTTTATAATTGTCCATTTTCAAGCCAGATCTTGTATGTGTTTCTTGTTACGATTCTTTATAATGTTATATTCATTACCATAACATAACAATGAATTTATTGCACCTTATTCATCTCAAACATACTTGAAATGATTAATGTCTAACTTTTGCAGGAAGATATTTAATATTAGGAATATATCATTTATGTTAATAATAAATTATAACAAACACTTCCAATTTTTGAGATTCTAAAATCTTAAAATCTGAAACTTCTTCAAATCACGCGATTTTTTATGTTTTTTTTAATTCCCTAGACACAATTTTGCATATCTTTGCATGCAAATCTGCCTTTTATGGTTGTTTAACATGCCATTTCAATTTTTCCAGATTATTCTTACCCTTGGTTGGTTTGAAACAAGAACACTCTAATGTTACTTTGTGCTTTATATGCTTTTATCTATATTCACTCTATATTCTATATTTATATCTTATATATTTTACACATTAAAAGCAGAATGTTCCATCACTACCAACCAAAACTGAAACTAACACTTCACAAAGAATTGCTATAAATAGAGATTCAACTCTGCCTGGATGAAATGTAACCAAATCAATCAAAACAGACCAGTGCTTTCTTTATCCACACTTTCCAAAATATTATGTTTCAATTGATCTAATTTTAATTTTAATTAATTAATTAATTTTGATTTTATTTTTAGTTTCAGTTTTGATTTCTGTTTTGGTGTAAAGGCCAGAGTTTTAAATCTTTTTAATTTTAATTTAATTTTAAATTTAAATGAAATATTTTAAAATTTAATTATTATTTTTAGTTTTAATTAACTGGCTACCTAGTTGCATATAAATACAGATGAATACCCAGTGCACTGATATTCCCCAAAGACCAGCTGGACATGCTGGCTTATCAGATTCATCAGCATATCAGATGCAGTTTTAACGGAACTTCACTGTATATACATCAACACAAAAAAGAAAACAGATTAAACGTAACATCAAACATTTAAACAAAATTTTCAAAATCAAATATGTCAATTTAAAATTGGTGTTTCTAGGAAATGCCTTTTGCCTAATATACTATTTTATAACCTATGTATATAAAATAGTTATTTGCATCATTGTTTAACATCATATTTTACTTCAGACACATTCTTTCTCAATAGATACACACTGTGTTCTTTATCTTGAATGGAGTATAACATAAATAACTACCCAATATACTTGTATTAACAAACAATCTGCTGGATTATTTATTGGGCTAATTAATAATTGCATAAAAAGCAATTTGGCTAGAGAGGTAGATAGTCATCTGAAAATAATCATTTTTTAAATTTAATAATTAGAAATATATTTTTAATTTAGAACTATCTGGAAGAAAAGAATCAATCCAGAACTGGACTTTAACCCAAAACTCCTGCTTGCCATGCAGTAGCTATATGGACCTCCATCTGATCTTTGCTTCTTTAGCTATTAATTAATTATTGAGTGACTAGTATGGTTATATCTAAATGAATGTGTTCACTTCGGCCTCCAGATACTTCCTATTCATGAGAAAGTCCTGATAAGAACTGATGTGAACTATTTATCCTTGAAAATTATATAATTCTATCAAAGCTTATAAAATCATATGATTTTAGAAAAGGAAAATAGCTCAATTCCTCCCAAGTGTATGCTAAGTACAGTACATGTATAGTACAAAGTTTCATAGGAATGGTTTAGCTGTTCTCATATGATACTCAGACAGGAGATAGATGCAAATTCAATTTTATACATATAGATGTAAGCTAAGCTAATGATCAATATTTCTCACACTGGGCTATGCTTTTACAAGGTTTACAGATTGATACCTGAATGAATAATAACACGTACACACACACAGTCACTAAATCATGAAAAAAATGTACTACAGGGAAATTTTGTTATAGAGAAATTACATTTTTTGGTAAATAAAGTATTATTTTAACAATTTTTTCATTATTTTTATGTACAGTGGGTGATCAGACAACAAACAGTTTGAACTGAAAACAAATTGGACAACAAACACTTTCATGAAAGATTTTTACATTCAGACAATAAATACCTGACAGAACAAACACAAGAAGAAGAGAGACTGCATTTAAGATTTGTAAAACTATATTTTAATGGCATTTATACATGGTTTATGGAAGAAGACTTTCACAGTTGTATACATAACCTTTTTTGCACTAGTTAATTTTTGTTCTCTGAATTTTTGTAAGTGCTTTTCTAAACGTTTTATTTAAAAAACTGATAATATTATTGGAGTGGAAAAAGAGTGGAGTGTCATGAACTGTGTTCACTATAGAAACATAGCAAGATATAACAGCCAAGATAGAGAGTGGGCAGATGCTGATGATTTCAACAGGTCTACAGTAGATACAATCTCAGCTAAGAAAGATATAATTAAAAAGACTCAAGAAGATAAAGAAGTAATGAAAATTGAATCTGAGAAACAAAGATGTGCTGTTTATGAAAAATGGAGAGATTATTTATATGTAATAACAAACTAAAAGCAAACATAGTAAGAAAATATATAATTTTTTATTTATCTTTTAGAAGTCGCCAGCATAAATTAATCAAATTCACACAAAAATCTATGGTAAATCGATAATCAATTAACAGACAATTTGGATATCAAACATAATCTTGGAATGAATTATGTTTGTTAACCGATCACCCACTGTAATTTAAATTAATATAAACATAGTTTTAAGTAAGTTTACATTTGTGTGTTAAAATAATGTACTTACAACTTAGTTTAACTATATTTTCATTAAAAAAATTGTAATTTTTCATTGCACAGAACAATTAAAAAAACGTTCTTGCTTTATAATATGCTTTGTATACATTGACATAAATGCAGGTTCTATTGGGTTGTTCGGAAAGTATTTCGTTTTTTTTCGTGGAGAAAATGACTTTCTTATAATATATAAATATTTTATTAAATTATATATTGACCATTTTGGTCCAATACCTTTTGCCATCTTTCTGAAAGTAGCATGATTTCACATTCATAAAATTTCTGATCTTTGCTTACAAAAAACTGATCAAAGTGATTTTTGACATCCTCATTTGAAGTAAATGTTTTATCATTTAAAAAATTTTGTAAAGACCAGAACAAGTAATAATCCAAGGGTGCTAGATCTGGTTTATATGGTGGGTGTGACAACACATCCCATCCAAGCTTCTGACAAGTTACCAAACTTATGCAAGATCTGGCATTATCATGGTGAAACACTACACCTTCTCTGTTGATCAATTCTGGCCTTTTTTGTTTGATGGTATCACTCAATTTGTCCAGTTGACAGCAGTACACTTTCGAATAAATTGTGGAATTGTCTGGTAGAAGCTTAAAAATCTCTCAAAATCCCACCAGAGAGCATCATTTTTTTTGGATGAATATCAGCTTTTGAAGTGATTTGAGCAGGCTCATCTCTTCTACTCCATGATTGCTTGCATTCAACATTGTTATAAACAATCCATTTTTTGTCATCAGTTATGATTCACTTTAAAAATGGATCATTTTCTTCATTTGAGAAGAAAATCACAGATGTTAATGCAATGGAGCAAATCTCTTTCTTTAAGAACATGTGGGACACACATATCGAGCTTTGTGTGCCCATGTGCTATTATTACCCATCTACAGGTCCATTTGTATGCCTTTTTTGGATTTTTCTCACCACCCTTCTGGTCATGTGCTACTTATGTCCAACATCTGAAGTTTTGCCTCAATGAGAACTGTTGATCGATATCAAAGAGTGATTTCGTGTGCTCATCAACAAGGAAACTCTCTCTCTGTGACAATATCTCATACAACTGCAAATGCTATGTCTTATTTAGAGGCATAATGTAACATGCAGTATGAAGTTTTGTGCCATCTAATAAATGTCTTAAATGTAGTAAATTGTGCTGAGTGACTCTTTCAAACCGAATCTTGTCATTTCCTACTCTATCTTCTTATCCCTTGTCTCATATATGAAACTGTCATGCCACCCAAAAACACTTAAAAACTGCAGTAGTAGGAGTATCCTTCTTGGAGTCAGGAGTTTTTGAGTGTAATCATTATATTTGTTGGAAAGGTAGGAAAGTGTACATATATCTCAAACATACACATACTCAAAATTAAAATCTAAAAATTTGAAGGAACAAATTATATTTATTAAGCAATTTATATTTAAGTTATGTACAAATTGGTCAGGTTAAGAATTGTGATAATACAAAAATAATCACAATTTACTCTTATTTATTTTTAATTTGTTATTTAGTAAATTATAAAAATTACCTCTTTAAATTTCTTATCACAATGTGCACATTCCAGGTCTTGTTCAATTCTTGTATTTGTCACCAAACATTCATTACTTTCCTCATCTCCATTAATTAGAACATGATGGCTTGTTTTCAAATGTGTCTGTGCAGATTTCAAACTTTCAAATAATTTTTCACAAAAGCAGCAGGCAAAAAACTCTCTAATTTTTTCTCCTTCATTGCTACTGTTTGTTGTATCTTCTGGTTCTAATAAAAATGTCAATAAAAAGTCTTTAGTACAGTACATTATCTAATAGAATGATTATTTAACTCATATAGTCATTATACATACATAAAAGAAAGATATTGGCCGTACACGAAGTGTTTAGCCGGCAGAAAAGAGGGTAAGGGAAAGGGGAGGGAGAAAAGATAGACAGTAGAGAAAGGTAGGATCCCTCTGAATGACATACATAAGACTACAGTACCTTCTATGTTTGATGTTGGCATGCAGTTTTTAGGCTGCAAGCCCATAGTCTCCTAAAGGGTCTAAAAGAAAACCTGAGTGTAGCAAACACAATAATTGAGTGCTACCATGAATAGCTAAGTATAGAAGTTAGTGCCAAGTGGCTGTTAGTAGGAAGACTTATATCTACTTAATACCAATAAAACTGAATGCAAGCGTGAATCTTAATGCTACTTAACAGCTAAACAGACAGCACAAAAAGCAAACAAACACAATGACAAACTAGATGAGATTAACGAACTGACAGAAACAAACGAGCAAGACCCCAAATTTTTTTTATTTAAATTAAATTAAATGTTTTATTATTAAACATTAACTTACTCACTAACTAGACTAACTTACCATAACCTAGGATGACCATAACCAGACGACTAAAGCTAACAAACCCTAATCTAATATAACCTAACCTATCATAACCTAATTGGAAACCAAGCTAAGAGTTCCTATCTAACTTACAACTAGGACTAACTGAACTTAGACTGAAAAAGAAGACAGAAAATAAGAATTAAAATACAAAGTTGAAAGGCAGCTATATACTGACAGTTGAAACAAAGCAAGTGAAAGCTAATTGCTATCTGTTCTCCCAGAGTGAGTGCTCTCAAGAGCCCCACTAAGAGATATGAATGTGAGTAGATGATGAAACATTGTACGCGTGTGAATGAGTTGGTGCAGGTTGCAAGGCCAGTTCAAGAATAGCAGCTCTCATTAAACTATCCCTAATGTAATTGTACCTATTGCAGTGAAAAACTAAGTGAAGTGGTGTTTGGTCCTCCTGAATACCACAATTGCACTGTGGATTGTTTCCAAGGTTAAATCCATGCAAGTATTGCTTAAAGTTGCCATGTACTGTAAGTAGCTGAGTGAGGGTGTAACTAGGGTAAAAGTGGCGAAGAATCACAGTAGTGTCAACCTTGGGGATGAAAATGTAGGTGAGACTACCAGTGGGGTCATGGTCCCAGCAATCTTGCCAGAGAATGAAGATTTGCTTCTTGACGTGATTGTTGATGTACGAGGTAGGAATGTAACTGAAAGCACTAGTGACCGAAGACTTTGCAGCTTGTTTGGCAAGACAGTCAGTGGTCTTGTTGCCAAGAACCCCTGCTTGACCCGGGACCTATTGGAAATCTATTCTAATGTTGTTGTTTAAGTGTCTGAGAATGTGGTGTATGAATGGAAGAATTTTAAGTAGCTATCAGACTTTTCAATCCTGTGTAAAGCTACCCTAATGTCAGAATAAGTGCGATAGTGTAAGTAGTCCAAGACTACTATAGAATTGAGGTAACTTTTTCTTAAAAATGTGAGGCCGGGACCACACCCCCCTTGGATGGAAACTGGCTGTCGAGCTAAAGTCAATATATCGATGACTTATTACGTAAATAGGACCAGTGTGACCAAGGAACAGGGTTTGAGACGATTTAACTGTCGCATTCCAGACCTAATTGACAGAGCCGCGATCGTCAATCGTGAGAATGAGCGAGGGATCGACCGTCGGGGAAACTTTGGACCTTACAGGGAGTTCAAAGCAGGTCCTGCTGATACTCCTGTGAAGGTGGCAGCGGCTGGGACAGCTACCTCCTCTCCAGGACAGAAAAACAGACATTAGGTAAAATTTACGGGTCCGTCATCTGGGAAAGGGCTTGACCCGACTTCGGAGGGGAACAGCCCGGACGGGGATATTCGGCAACCCTGCGGCCCGAATCGTGTCCCTGGCAATAAACCAGGGACCAATAGAATCGCAGGGGACCAACATTCGAACCAACCAAAATCTTGGGATTTTGGGAGGAAAAAGATTATAAAAGTCCGAAATCCCAAGGACACAGGGAGGTGGTGTTCGAAGACGTCGATCCTTGCGTACGGACAGTGGATGCTCTGGCGTTTCGGAAGAGAGATACTGACAGGACCCCAGAAGAGGAAGGACCGAGGAGACATAAAAGAACCTCTGGACACAAGAGAAGAAAGGGACTCAACTTCCCGATGACATTCTCGCCTCTCCAACTCCCCGTACCTGGACCTACAGAGATCATCTACAGAGAAACCAGGGCTGTGGAGTCGGAGTCGGAGTCGGGAGGAATTTCTGGCTAGAGGAGTCGGAGTCGGAAAAAAATGTGTCGACTCCGACTCTGGCATTTCTCTTTTCTTGTTTTCCATAGAAAAATTAAAACGTAAAAGTATCTGCAAAAAATTTCACCCCCAACGCGATTTTATAGTAAAAATATTAGAATAATATGAAATAATTTAAAATAAATATATCGTTAGAGATGTTTTATTTGTCATTTTATTGCATTAAAAACAAGTTGTAACGAGACACTGGGGTCTCCAAAATTTACAACTATTTGACCTTTAGNTTAATTTCCCTCATGAGAATACAATTACACATAATTCATTGATTATCAAATTTCACAACCAAGTGTCTCATCATATTTTGTATAACTGTAGACTTAAGTGAAATTTTATATTAATTTTAATTGATTTTTATTGAAAAAATAACACACACACACACACACATTATTTTGACAATTATGAATAATATTATATATCATAATCTCTCATGAATATATTGGATATTTATAAATTTATCAATACTTATACCTGTAAACTTATATATTCCTGTCAAAATAAGTTTTGTATGAATAAATTTTGTAAATATGTATTCCAATATAATAAAACAATGCTTTATGAAATGTAATTCAATTACAGTAGAGTCCCGCTAGTCCGAACCAATTGAGACCGAGCCCTGTTTGGATTAGCAACTTTTGAATTAGCTGAATAATTGAAAAAATGCAGAAGCAAGCAGTAAAACAGGTCTGGTTTATATAAATCCAACCCTCTGTAAGTTGTCACAAACCCAAACACATTAGTCTGTATTGTTTTTAACAGTGTTTTGAATTTTGGTATAAAAAAATAGAGAATTTAAAATAAAAATTTTACTTATTGTCAGTATTATCCTTCAATACGTTTATTGATCATAATGAACTTTCATGAAGTATCATTGATAAATCTGTAAATACAATAAAACCTCCAATCTTGTATCTTACCAAAAATATACCAAATTATTTCATAATTTAAAATGATCTTAAAAATTCTACAACTCTTACACTATTCATTACATTTATTTTTAGGAAGCTAAAATCATAATTGTTAAAAGATAGCAACATTTCATTTACATTACATTACTATTATTTAGTACAAATTATATAAATTATGTAATATAATATAGTATGTATAATTCTTTTTGATTTTTTGAAGCTGACCATCCTATTAAGTTCCACAAATTCCTGGTTAAGTGTCATGTATGTAAACTGCCAGGTGATAACCCACATCGAATTGCTCCTTGACCTGTCAGGTGACCCCTGTACCTTTCACCTTTGTTGTGTTCCTTTGCCTTCAACCTCAGTCGTGCTTTATGAACTTGCAAAATCATTTGCATTAAAAAAGATCTATTTGCAAATCATCTAAATTTTCCTATAGATATTTTTCTGTAATGTATTATGCAAAACATGATTTTTTGAGTAACTTCAATATAACATACAAAGGTGATTTATTTAAATAATTATTGACTTAAATATATTGCAGAATTACATCCCTTATTCTACCACTTTGTACTTTGCATATAANTTATAGGAACGTACGTTATAGGGGGGTCGACTGTAATTGAAATAATGCTTGCTTCTAAGCAGTAAAACAGGTCTGGTTTATATAAATCCAACACCACCAATGACTTTTGTTTCTGTTTTTGTGTGTAATTAATTACAGTATAGATCTGCTGTTTTAATAGGCCATGTCAAACATTGATTTATTAATTTTGTACAGTATTAATACAGTACTACAATAAAAAACAATTTTTTTTTGTTGTGGAATACTAAATCTTTTTATACCATTAATACCATTTAAATTCAACTGAAAAATACAAAAAAAAAAAAAAAAACATATTTTGTGAGCTAAAAAATTTCCTCTCCACCGACTGAAACATATTCGAATTAACGGTGTTCGAACTAGCGGGACTCTACTGTACAGTACAGTACAGCAACAATTATCCAAATGTCGATCAACCGAAAGCTTTCCAGTTGCCAAATTTAAATTTCCGCTAGTGCTGTGGTGCTGCAATCTTTGGCTATGTCTTGGGCTACTCCAATATTATTTTTGTTGGTGTGTGTGTTTTAGCTGACCATGAGAGAGAACTTAAGGACATGCCAGGATTTGAACAAATTTCAACATGGGATAGGTTAATATATTTTTTGTACATAATCAGTTATCCGAAAAATTGATTTTCCGAACAGCCCCAGTCTCCAATTGATTCGGATAATCGATGCTCTACTGTATTTTCATTTAATTTTTGTTTTATTTTGTATAATTTGAAGTCAATTAAATAATAATAATTAAATGTTCAAAATTTCAATTTTTATATTAACTAATATCAAATTGAAGAGTACAGTAGACCCCCTATAACGCGGGTTCATATAATGCGGATTCATATATTGGGGCAAAAAAATTGCGACCATATTCGTATAAAGATGCTAAAAGAGACTTGTAAAATGTGGTAAAACGTCATCACCGACTCGTGTCGCGACAGGATTGGGCGAATCTGGACCAATAGTGGATGAGCAGCCGAACTACTTACACGCTACAGAGAGTTTAGGCGGGTAAGATGAGTTTACTATCGTCTGTACAGTATATAGGCCTAAATTAGGTACTGTAAGTCTAATACAGTACTGTAATTTCATACATTTCTTGTGAAAAAACATTT